GCAAGAGATATTTTTGCTGCACTCTTGTTCCTAGGCTTACTTATGTACTGTCCATCGTCCACTCTGTTTATATCAGAGACCATACAAACATATCAGTTTTTTTATTTCTTAATGATGATAATGATGATATACAAATTGTAAAGTACAAATTGTTATGATGGAAAGATGATACTAATWCTAGAGAAGTGATTTTGAATAAAATTATTTTTTAAGGTCATCATGCTAAAGTTAAAAAAGGAAAACCTCAGACACACTCCTTCAGTGGACTTCAAGCCAAAAAGAATCAAAAGATTAATAAACCAAAGCATACAAAGAGAAAAGAAAATGTGGGAAAGAAGAAAGGTACAAAGAAAAGAGCTGGCAAAAATGTTGGTCAGCCCTCYAAGAGATCAGTGGCTTATAAACAAAAGTTAAATAAGAAAAGCAAAAGAGAATAGTGTGATATTTTTTCATGTTTTTATTAACTTAGTAAGTTGGAACTGAACTTGTGGTTTTAAAATTATACCATAATGATAACATGAAATATGTGTAAATAATAAACTTTCATCAACAAGAATGCTAACTATAGTCACTGTATTGTCTTTTTTTTTCATTTTATTTTTTTCACTGAGAAACTATATTATCTAGCTATGTACKGTAAAAAGCAATTTCAAAAAGCATACTTAGATGTCTGTATTATTTGAATTATTTTCTTTAATTGTCGTCCAGGAACCTAAAGGACTATCCAAATGTAGCTATTCTAAGGATTTTGGTGAGTTATTTATTTCAAAACTCACCCATCAAATCCTGTCAATGCTTTTTTTTTGTTCTGATGATTTGTTAATATTAGTAACATTGTCCAGAATTTCAGACTCAGCTGATTACACTTGTCTTGACCTTGCTTATTTCAGATATCACAAAAACCTCATCCCCTAATAATAATTATTGTTTATTGGCTTTCGGTTGTCCATCATCTTCAAAACTTATTTTTGAAATAGCAATATATATTTTTCATAATTAAAAATTGTAGTAAAGAACATAATTTAGTAACATCCCACAATTCCATCACTCTCGCATCAATCTTACTATCGCTATCTGATAAAAACTYAAAACAGATAAGAATAAGTTTCCAAGAGGAAATAAACACTGAAATATCTTCAGTTTCATGGCTAAACATGTAAAAATGAAGTACAACAACCGGTTGCCCATTGCTATTATGTAGTCAATCACAAGAAAATCGAATTTTCGCGGGTTTTCTGTCAAAGCGGATGTTATGGCAGCGCCGGAAGTCAGCATTTTCACGTGGATTCCACCAAATAAGGTAAAAGTTAAATATTCATCGGGGAACTTCCGGCGATGTATAGCCAATCAGAATCGAGGACCCCCCTGAGCCCGTGGCGAGGAGGGAAGACGGAGCGTCTTGTTGTCTTGTGTCGGCCATCACATAAAAAGTGAACCTCGAGTTAGAAGTTTTCTTCTCGTATTTTGAAAAGGATTTTATTCCCTGATCTCCACCACAAGCTGGAAGGGAGGGAAGAAACAGTATTGGAGCGACTCACATGGTAAGTTCACTGCTTTTAAGAGCAAACTGAGACCTTGTTGACATTCATTCGTTGGAAAATTTTCTCTGTCTTCTCTGTGGTTTGAAATGGGTTCTTATGTCTAACTTCATTGAATGTTTGGGGATCACAGTGCGTACATATTCAACTCTACATTAACTATCTCTCAGTGCTGATGTTGAGGTTTATGTTAGTGTTCTAGTGGAAGGATTTCTTTAGTCATAGATCTAGAAATGTTGACTCTGAAGCAGGCAATCAATACTTGTTTGAGGCATGTACTACTAGCAAAGTGACTTCTTTATATCTCCATTTTTCACCATTACCTGTTCTTTAATATGACAAATTTAGAAACCCTAATAATCTTGACATTCTCGTTGATGATTAGACGGYTTTTTAACGAAAATCATGCTGTATATATTGCAATTTAAAGCCACAAACATTACCAACTCAACATTTTTTCTGTCAGTGTATTGTAACAAAGTTTAAGTGTACCAGCTACATCATTAGATTTCTACCCTTTTGCACCAACGATATCCCTCCAAACTATCACAAAAGCTGAAGAAATGCTTCAGCTTTGTTTCTGTGAAGTTTGGTCCAAAATGTTCCATAGCAAGTGTGATTTTTTAAACAGAAAGAGAACGTACTATGCCAGTCAGCCGTAGCTCAAGTTTGTTTACGAATATTGATTCGACAAGAGTGCATGCATATTCTTTGTCTTGAGTTTTCTCATCAGCTGAGTTAGATATCCTTATCGAAACACCTTTAAATAATACAAAAAGAACATACCCAGTTAGTACTCTCTTTCGATGAACTTTTGGACAGTTTTTCCCGGTAGAAGTTTCATAAATCAGAAATTGCTGTTGACAATCCAAGTACAGCAGGATCATTGGCATGTGTGTGACCATATTTACAAGGTTCGGGTACCTTCGTCGTCAACCCATAAAAACTTAACTTTAATTTAAGTTACCATTCTCAAAACTTCGCCAAATGTTCCTAGGTTTCTTAAGTTTGATTGAAGCCAGTTTAGTTGAGGAATTGAGTTGGATTAAGTCATATATTATTCAAAGGACATTTGCTCACGTCATGGTTCTGATGTCTTTGCCATTTTTTCTTCTTCGACTCTCAACAAGTGTCCTTGCTTTTTTCACGTTTACCACAGGCCCAGGGATCAGAGGAGCCCCCGTTCTTACGAGTAGGCACCGAAGTTAGTGCTAAATATCGTGGAGCATTCTGTGAAGCAAGCATCAAGACGGTAAAGAAGCATGTGAAATGCAAGGTTGGTAGCACTAAATGTGTTTTCTACGTGTTTTTTACGTTGTAATAAACAATCTTGTGATTCCTTGACTTTTTTGGCATTATTGCTTCCCTGCACTTACAGATACAGTACAAAGACAACTCCACAGCTACTCTTACTGATGATGTAGTCAAAGGAGATTTGAAGGTAATTTTTATTGGTATATTTAGTCTTTTAGTCCATTCATGACAACTCAGCACTCTCTGTTTCTGTTCTGTAGATTGGCTCTGATGTTGTGGTGAAAACTCTAGATGGGCGATTAATGGATGGAGTTATCATAAAACTCACAGATGCCAGTACATATACTGTTGGTAAGGAATATCTTTAAATTACAGTTTTATAATTCTAGTATTTTTAAAGCCAAAATTTTCAACTTTACTCTAGTAAACAAGTATAGGATTACTGAATGTCAAAGRTAAAATGTGTAAAACTCCTTTTTGCAGTCTTTGATGATGGAGACGAGAGAACTCTAAGGAGAACATCCCTCTGTCTGAAAGGAGGGAGGCATTTTAATGAAAGTGAAGTAAGTTGGATAGCATTTGTACTTGAATTTGTTCCTGAAGCTCATTTGTACTAATCTGTTTTTCTTTGCAGACCTTAGATCACCTACCCCTTACTGACCCAGAAAACTTTGGTACACCAGTCATACAGGTAAACGTTGCTCTAAATAGACATTTAATTATTACATTTTAAACCTTTTTCTGTAATTTTTCCAATGATTTTTGAATAATTCAACTTTTGGCTTTTAATTCCAAAAATGCATTAATCAGAATTAACACTAGAAATACCTTGCGAATAAAGCATGCCTTTGAATTATGTACTTATTGTGTATGTGGAACTTTAAAAGACCGATCAAAAACTACATATTTTAGTAACAAAAGAAAGAAAATATGAGAATTATATATTTCAATATTTTGATATGAAAATCATTTTAATGCATTATTCTGGTTGTAAGTAATGAGATCTGTTGAAATTACAAAACCTTTCATAAGCATTGAACATTTTTTTAATAATTTGGTATTCAAAAAATATTCTCTTCAGAGTTACAAATTACTATTGATCATATTTATATTTGTGGCTGATGATTTCCACTAAAGTTAAATTGAAAGTGATATTTGGAAGAAAATTCATAGATATGCAGGATTTGCATCAATTTGAAAGTTTTAATTTAAAATGYCTGTGCATGTCTCTTTCCTCCACATGGTAGTAGATTTGAAGATTATAAACAAGCTTTTCAATCATGAGCATTGCAAAACAAGTGTTTTTCTTGCTTGTCAATTGATTTCTATATTTCACAGTACTAACATCACAGAACAGTWAGACACAAGTGGGTATTTTCTCCCAAAAGATATTTCTGGCTTTTTATTTGAAGTGGATTCTGACTTATAAAGGAGTTGAGAGGTGGCAACTTGTGCCTTTGAACTCTGTATAAACATGCTCGTCAGCCAACAAGAGTGTGTGTTATAGGTTATCTGTATTATTTTATAATTATTGATCTATGATCAAAAACTTTGAACGGCATCTTTGTCCATTTATACTAGATATACATAARTTGAATAAACTAGTGTAACTCAAAACCTGATAAAAAGTAGTTTCATTGACAAGAGAACCAACAGAAAATCCTAAGATATTTCCTRATCTATACTTAGCTATGTGGAGTTGATAATATTTTTGAGCACGAATGAAGAAGAGCTTTGAATTGTATGATTCTTCTTGACATACTGTGTGAGTTTATGGTAAAACTACATAAATAGAAGTGACAGTGTTGTCATTGCAAGAGAGCTCASAATGTCATGTGTGTTCATTTTGASTAGATTGAGATTGATTGAATGTCCAGTGCTACAGTAATAAGACATGACAGCATGATGCCACTGACAACTTSACTAGTYTATTATCAAGATTGTTTTCTGAAATTCTCAAAACAGTTTGGAACTATTGATAGATTAACTGATTTGAATGAAATCTGTATTGAAAAGCTGTTAACATCCTTAGATTACTTAAGTGTTTCCATTTACATTAGTTCTGTTTATATCAGGTTAGTCTAATAATATCATTGTTATTATATTTTTCAATAAAAGAAAGCCCTTTTTTGTATATTGTACCTGTTGCAGAATGGGAAAAAGAGAAAGAAAAGAAGACCTAGRGCACAGCAATCAAGGTAAGCTATTTGTCAGTACCATTTTGCTGTGATGTATTACCTACCAGTGACTTAAACTGTCATTTACTTTTTGGTGTGTATTGATAATCAATAAACTTTAAACTAAAAAAACCCTTTTAACTCTGCAGTTTGCAACCATGCATGATATTGATTTTTACTATTAGTACAACGTGCTACATTTTTAGCAAGTCTACTTGATATATAGTTTGCAGTGATATTTAATTTGTTGTTATTTTGGTATAGTTTTGAAGATGGTGATTCTGAGAAAGAAGAAGGTTCTCCCATCCCAACTAAAAAGAAATGTTCCTATAATGATAGTATATTAGGCAAGGTAAGATGCATTATGTGTTTGCATTATCCTTAACATGCTAGAAATTCACACAGAAAGTGAAATTGAAAATGCTTCTTTGCATCAACATTTTGAGATTGAATTTCTTGTTTCATTTATTAATGATATATCTTCTGTTGTGATTCTAGGTCATTATTGTAGAYCGAGGTGCACGCAGGAAATCTCATTGGTTCCCTGCATTGGTAAGACCTGATGTTAAATCATAGTTTATTGCTATAGATAGTCCAAACAAGTGCTAATCATAAAAGAAAATGTCACAAWGATATGCAGCTAAATTATTGCTCTTCTCATATATTGTACAAGGTCAAAGACACTAYCTTGTGGCCATTGAGAGGGATTGATTTTATTAGTTAGTTATAGAAGTGTTTATTAATGCACAATGTAATATGAGTTTTATATGTAACACCTAACAAACCTGTATGGTCATTCTTTTCCAGGGAGTGAGTCCAAGCCAAGAGAATTTGATGTACATCAAGTCAAAYGATCAATGCTTAGCTCGTTCTTTCAAAGATGGAAACTAGTAAGTGATAACAATGTTCCCAGTGCATATCAAGTAATATACATCTAGTCTTTGGATTATGGATTATGAAGGAAAAAAACATTCTCATATCAGACCGTACTCGGGGTTTTGAATAGTGGAAAATATCACTTTTTATTGCTTATTTAATCACCATTTTTGTGATGAAATTATGTGCGGTTTTCTGCAGGTGTAGAACCTCCCATTATTTTTCCCATGCCAGCTGTCTGTTTTTTGTTTTTACTGAGAACCCTGCCTACACACTCTCTGTCAGAGACAGGAAAAACTTATTAAGTGAGAAAAAGTTATTTTTTGTTTTTCTGGTTGTTTTCATAGTGCTTCTTAATCTTTGTTATTTGATCTGCCAATCATATAGCTTGAAATTACATG